AGCTCCGGGCCTGGTTACAGCAGATACAAATCAGATTTCAGGCAAGCTGGGAGGGGCGGGGGGGAAAGAGTCTTAATAGAAGTCAGGTGGAGATCCTACCCCGAAGTGCTTAGCGGAGCACAACGCAGTTCAGAGCCGCTCCTCATTAAGTTCCTGCTGCAGTGCAGAGACCCCAACCACATGCAAATCCTGCATCCACAGAAAGCCCCTCAGAGCAATCTTGCTTTCCCCAGGCCCCCCAGCACTGGACAAAACTGCCTAGGGACTCAAAGCAAGAACCGCACCATGCTCCCCCACCCCCGCAGCTTGTAACAGCCTTGAACGTATCTAGTTTAACACAAAGATAAAAATCATACACCCAATCCTGCAAACGCTCCTCGTGAGACTAGCCAGGCAGTAAGCGTTAGGACCGGAATCGTCGGCAGGATCAGGTCCCGTGTCACCAATTACAGAGGCCTGCCTATAGCACGGGCAAGGCACATGGCCACACTACACAGGGCCGCTGAGCTACAGTAGTTTGCGCCAACTGAGCCAACTGGCATTTGCCTCCATTCCAAGTGAGAGTAAACCTCACGTAGCTCTTCCAGTGCAGCCCCGTTCCCGTCCTTGCCTGCACTGGCGCAGCTGCTCCAGGGGCAGAGTTGGAATTATTCCCATCTGCAGCCTCACTGTGAATACAAAGGTTCTGTAAACACAAACTGATGTCAGGGCTGTGGGAGGGGACGATATAAGCTCACTGATTGTCCAAACGGTTTAGGATGGGTGCCCGAGCTCGGCCTCAGAGCCATCTGGATTCCTTTGCAGATGTCTGCAAGCATTGATCAGTCCAGGCCTTTATCTCTAATGCTCTGGGCCCTGCAAGGAACAGAGCCATGGCCTACGCTTCAGTTGGGATGGAGAGAACATCCCACCTCATGGGATCAGGCCCTGGACGAGAAGGCAGTTAGAGACCAACTGCACTGGCCACAGAGCTTCTTGTACACAGCTCTGCCCTGCATTTGACCCACAGCATTTCCTGGCTTCTGTAGCAGAGGCTACCCTTTAGGGAGGTTGCTGTGCAATTGGGACAGGTATCCAGGCCAGACTGGTTTTCAGCTGCAGCCAAAACCGTCCCCAGGTCTGCAGAGGCAGAGAGGCTGGGCTGACCCATTTCTGACATGGACAATGCAGCGTCTAAAGCAATCAGTTAGTATTCCATCCTTGATCACGATGATCTGGCAGAGACCCCGGCAGATCTAACCCAATCCCTTGCGAATACAAGAGCTACCACAGCCAGTGCACGAGAGATGGCCACTGTGCATCTGTTTATGAAATCTGAATCTATACCGTCTCCGTTAGCTTCCTGCTGGCATCGGAGTTCTATGGCTAGCTCCAGGCATACAGACCATTAAGCCTGCCTATGCTAACAAGAATGGATAAAACCAATAATTGCTCACAACTGTCAGCATGAAGCACCACAACAGGAGTCACTATCGGTTCAGATCACGCTCAGCTTCATGGTCACGCTCCCCATATTGAACACGGAGCACAATGGGCCTGCCAGTTATAACGCTGGCCACGCCCACCCCAGATCAGCTAAGCTTGTCTCATGGATAGCCACGCTCCTGGCCATTTAGAGACGTCCCCACATGCCGGAGCATCACGCAGAGTGGAGTTTTACCTCTTTCCTGAGCTGCTGTTTACCGCCACTCCCTCCGGATCCTTCATTCAAGGCAGATGGAAAACCCAATTGCAAGTCAATGGGCGTCCAGCATTTCGCTCCTCTGGGGGCAGGCTAGTCATCGTAAAGCACAGCTGCTTGCGGACGTGAAGGTAGCAAAGGAACTGCTTCTGGCAGGCTGCAGAAGAAACCGGGAGGTTCCGAGCCTGCCACCCCACCAGTTGCCAGAGATATCCAGGCTATGTCCCAGAACCGAGCTGCGTGCCAATCCTATCCAATGGAGTTAGCTGCTAGGGGAGTGGTCCATTCTTTCTGCTCAGGAGATTAATGGAAGACTGTCTAATTCCCTAGCACAACTAGAGGAGGAGATTATGCGATCACAGTCACTGTACATTTCAAATGCAGACTTAAAAGCCTCCATACACAGCTCATTTTTCCTATTTGACATCAATGGGAAATCCACTGCAGATCAAAGGTAGCGGAAGCCCCAGAATCCTTCAGGGCTTTGTCCCCAGCCCCACTGGGGAGACCCACATATTAAGGAGGGAGCTTTAGCAAAGACAGGAACAGCCAACAAATTGGCTACAGGACTCAAGTGCTAGTACCATTCCCAAGCCCAAAACACACAGCTGGCTGATTTGGAAGCCGTCTGCATCACTACACCCCTTTGAATCCTGGTCTCCAGTTCGACTAGGAGCCCCAGCCACGGCCGGCTTTAGAAATGTCGGGCTCCCCAAGCAGGCTGTTCTTGAGCCACCTCAATCCACATACAGCCCTAGTGTGCTAAGCCAGCAGTAAAGCCACACAGCCTGACATGGGAAGTGTGGGGCCACCAAGCATGGGGGGCCCCCCCCCAGCCATTTAGGCACCTCATGGTTTGTGGGTCCCCACAGCTTGCTTTCTCACATCCCCTATTTCGTTAGGCAAGTTCCAGCTTTGCTTTGGGAACAGATTCACACCACGAGAGAAGGTGGGCAAAACCTCCACAACCCTACAGGACGAGCCCCAAGACAGGGGGGTTTTATCCCCATTTCAGACCCACTAGGAGCTTTTCAAGGAAAAATAGTCACCACTAAGGTCCAGCTCTACCTCCCTTATGGGGCAACTGAGAGTCCTGTGAAACATACAGACAACACGCAAGAGCTCCGAGGCCCATGGGAGGTGGACAGAGCTCCGGACCGGGACTCAGGTCCTGGGTTCTATTCCCCAACTCAGCCACTGACCTGCTGCGTGCCAGTGGGCAAGTCATCACCTTTCCGCTGGTTTCCCCTTTCCACTCGCCCTGCAAGCTCTCCGGGGCCGGGACTGCACAGTGGGGCCCTGCTCTCTACTTCAGTATTACTGCAATCCATGAGACGCCGAAGGACAACACTAGGGAACAGAGCAAGGCTGGGAAGAGACGGCCAGACAAAGGCATTGGGTCAGAACTGCCAGTTGTGACCTACAACTCCACGACAGTATAGCAGCAGGCATTCTTCCTGTAAGTATTACACAGCCTGTCAAGCCACGAGCACAGACGTTTGCACAAAGCAAGTAAGGCTCCTACAGCAGGATCATGCCGCATTCGCTTCCAAGCTAAACAAGCAATAAGGTGGAACTGGCCTCCCTTCACAGAATCATAGAATATCAGGGTTGGAAGGGACCTCAGGAGGTCATCTAGTCCAATCCCCTGCTCAAAGCAGGGCCAATCCCCAGCTAAATCCCCAAATGGCCCCCTCAAGGATTGAACTCACAACCCTGGGTTTAGCAGGCCAATGTTCAAACCACTGAGCTATCCCTCTCCTTTAGTGTGCAAGTGGCAGAACGGAAAAAGCATCAACCTTTGATGCGCTCATTCGGGATGGACTCCAAGCGAGCAGGGAGATTTTATTTATCTTCATAAAAAAACCCCAGAGCACACAGCTGTGCCTAAGGGGTGCCGATCAGAAGTGCAGGTGTGTGCAGCACAAGGGACGGGGATCCCTCCGCCTCCCAGATCGGAGAGCTTGGGGAGCCCCTAAAGCGACCCAGTGAGAGATGCGAAAGCAAAAAAGTGCAGCCACATTTACAGCATTTCTACCGAGGCGGCTTCTGGCTGCCTCATAAAATGTGTTTGTGGCCAGGAGGCCAAGGACCGCGGAGTCCCGTTTGGCCATAAAGGAAGGAACAGAACGTCAGTATTTTCAGGGAGAGAGCGCACGCATTTGTCCACAGAGCGCCGCGCCGCCCCCCTCCTAGGATCCCTGGTCTTCTTCTGTATCACTCCCCCCACCAGTCACTTACCAGGTTCATGTAAAGATCCCAGCAGGCTTATTAAGCCTGCACAATAAAGAGACAAAAGTCCAGGATGAAAAGGGCTATAAATCAAAGGGACACAGCTCTGCCCCTTCAAAGGGGAAGGGAGCACACGGCTCAGAAGGGAATTCGGCATTTTAAAGCCCCCTTTGCGGAGATGCATCAGAACTGGCTGCAGAGTTTCACCGCCAAAAGCCAAGCCACTTCTCAGTCTCTGCACCAGAATAAAACTCAGGTGCTGATCTACCCTTCAGCTCCATTTCCTCTCATACAAACAGCCCCTGAGCCTGTTTCCAGACCACGTCTGAGGACAGGAGTAAATGAAAACTAACTGTTTCAAGCCGGAGCCCTACCCGCACCAGGCTGGCCTGTTTTCCTGCAAGTCTGCTCGCTGGAGATTGAGTATTCCTCGAGCTATTGTTTCGCTTGAGCGTGCAAGACACATGCAGAGACGGACTCCTGCAAGGGGGATGGATGGATGGATGGCCCGGGGAAGAGATGCACAACTGGGGGGGGGGGGTCAGCTTTTGGAACCGACGTGGGATTTCCCTGCACCCGAAATTCAGCGGTGCACACCGGAAAAACAAGACAAGTTCCGTCCCCTGCCCAGTCTCAAGCAGCCAAGCGCAACCCCGCAACGCTGCAAGAAAAACGCTCTTGCAACAAACTCCAGCCCGGCCCCCCCGGCCTGCGGGGAAAGCGAAGCGAGGACAAACGCCCCGAGAGAGGAGCAAACGCAGCCAACAGCATCACAACAGAGCCCGGCTCTGCCCTTCCAGCCCGAGCCGGGGGAGAGAGCACAGGGCAAGCGGCCACCAGCCCCGGCCCTGGCTTTGCAATGCGCTCGGACCCCTCTGCAGCCCCCCGAGCCCCGGCCCAACATCCCCCCCGCGCCGCGGCCGCCCCCGAGCGCCCCCCAGCAGCAGGGGGATGGGGGGGGACTTGCTGGCTCGGGCGCTGCACGGGCTCCCTGCACCCCCACGCCCCGGAGTACAGCTCCGAGCACCCCAGGAACCGCTGGGGGGGGGGGGATCTGCCCGACTCCCGGAGCCGCCGCCGCGCCCACCTTGTTGAAGGCGAAGAGATCCAGCTTGAGCTTCTCCCGCTGGGGGTCGTGCCCCTGCCTCCGGAACCGAAACTTCATCATCGTGCCGGGCTGGGCGCTCGCCGCCGGGCTCCCTGCAACGCCAGCCAGGCAGCGGGCTCGCCTGCCCCATGCACCCGGCCGGCCCCGCGCCGCCAGCCCGCAGCCTGGATGCGGCGGGGGGAGGGGAAGGGGCCGTTCAGGAGGCGGGTGCGGGGGGTGAACGACGTCCGGCCGAGCCAATCAGCGACCGCGGGGGAAAGCGAACCAGACAATGGGGGAGAGAAGAAGGCCAGCGTTCCGCGGCTCCCGAGTCCGGCCTCTGCTGGGAGCATGCGCCGGGGCGCGGGGGTGCCTGGGAGATGTAGTTTTTCCCCTCCCCCCCGGTTCTGCCAAGTCTTTAGCGTCCCACCAGGGGGGCCCGATCCTGAGTGGGGCTGCTGGACACTCCTGCCATATAAAGTCCTCAATGAATTCTCAGCCCTGTCTGAGCCAGTGTCTTCTCTGCCCAGAGAAGAGGTTTGGCAGCCGGACAGTAAAGAAGGTGGATTCTGATCCCCGCCCTACACACACACACACACACACACACTGCCCAAAGAGTGCGAAGAAAATAAAAGCACTTGGCCCAGATCCTTTCACGACTGCCCTAGGCACAGCTGCCTTAGGAGGGGAGATGCAAAAGACGGGGACTGTTCGGCTTAGAAAAGAGACGACTGGGGGTGGGGAGGGTATGACACAGGGCTGGAAAATCACAAGTGGTGTGGTGAAGAAAACGAGCAGGGAAGTGTTATTTACCCCTTCACATAACACAACAACCAGCGGTCTCCCACTGAAATTAACAGGCAGCGGGTTTAAAACAAACGTAAGGAAGCCCTTCTTCCCACAACGTACCGTCAACCTGTGGAACTCATTGCCAGGGGATGTTGTGAAGGCCAAAAGTGTAACTGGGTTCAGAAAAGAATTAGATGAGTTCCTGGAAGATCAATCCATCCATGGCCATTAGCCAAGATGGTCAGGGACCCATGCTCTGAGTGCATCTAAACCTCTGATTGCCGAAAGCTGGGACTGGCCGACAGCGACGGGAGATGAATCATTTGATAATTGCCCAGTTCTGGTCATTCCCTCTGAAGCACGGCTTCCTCTTCTGTCACTTACGCTGAGCATGCGAAGCAGAAGACTGCGATGGTCTAGGCCTGATTTTTCTCAACCTTTTTCTTTCTGAGACCCCTTAACAGGCTATAAAAACTCTGTGGCCCACCTGTGCCACAGCAACTGTTTTTCTGCCTATCCAGTAGATTAAAAGCCAGAGGCGGAGTTAAGGGGTTGCGAGCAGAGCAATTGCTTGGGGCCCCACACCACAGGGGGCCCCACGAAGCTAAGGTGCTTGGGCTTCAGCTTTCTGTCCTGGACTGCGGTGAGTCTAATGCTGGCCTTGCTTTCTGGTTTATTTGGAGGACCCCCTGAAACCTGCTCGCGGTCCCCCCGGAGCCCTGTTGAGAACCTCTGGTCTATGCTCTGAAATGCCAGGGTCGCACTCATATGGTGGCTAAGTTATCATCATCATCATCATCATACTAAGCAGCACTCGCCTACATTCGGCCGGGTATTACTTGACACTTTTTGCAGCACTCAGGAACTCCCAATCTTCTTGTACAGCGATGAAACAATAAGGGACGTGCCTTGTAATAAGGGACTGTTGGTGACCCTACTTGAGGGCTAGAAAACTGAGTTTCTTATGCAGTCACCTCCAGGAGCTGGGGCTTTCAGAAAAACACCAGCTATCCGGAGTTGCACCGGAGGTGCCGGCACTGGTTCTGTCCGGAGCAGTTTGTGCTTTTTATGTCGTGGGTGGTGGCAGCAATTTTACTGAGCTTGTAAACGCTGCGGAAGAAGGAGAACTAAGGAAGGATTGTAGCTTAATCTTCATAGAGGCTCAAGCCCAGCAAAGCATTTAAGCACATGCTTAAACCTCTGCTCCTTAAGTAAGTGTTTGCTGACTCAAGGCCATAGGGTTCCGGTACGTATGTACAGAGCAATGCATATAGCACTGGATGTCTGGTGTTTCTTTCTGTGTTTCAAGCACATGAACAGCGCTCCAAAACAACCTTTGGTTTTCCCAACTTCTCTAGGCTTCTCCCTGTACAGATTAGAAATGGGGGCCATGGTGGCAGCTTTTAGAGTATCTCATTGCGATTGGAAGCATTCATCAAAGACACGCTGATAAAGAAGCCCGTCGCAGGGCATTCGTGATGCTGCAGAAGCAGTGTTGCCAACTCTCAGGCTTTTGTCATGAGTCTCATGATAATTATTGTTTTCCATAAAGCCCCAGCTCCTGGAGTCAAGTGGAAATGTGGTGATTTCTGCCTTCATTCTAGCCCTCGTGGCTGCGGAGAAAGCATCCGAATGTAACCCCAGTGCACCATAAAGGCTCAAAAAGCTGCAGGCGAATAAAAAGAACACCAAAGCTAGTCTTTTTACATAATCTCATGACTTCAAAGCCAATCTCAGGATTTTTTGGTGAGCCTGACTCGCAATTGCTGATCATTTGGGGTTGGCGATACCACTGCTGACAAACCAGTGCAGAGCTGAGCTCTGCGAGGGGTGGGACTGAAGAGGAGCAGTGCTATTTGTACCGGCCAGCAGAGTACAAGTCATACACCCGAAGGCTCGCCGAAGCGAGTCACCACGGTGCTGCGGGTGGGTGGTGTTGCTTGCACCGTTGGGGCTATTACACCAGTGCTGGCTGGCACAGCGTGGGTAGAGACTGGTATGGTGGTTCCGGATTCATTCCAAGGCAGCTTTTACAACACCCGCCTCGTGCCGCGCAGGGTTTTGCTCTGTGTGTTGCAAAGGGAGATGCGGAAGCTCACTTGTGTGGGTTTGCTTTGATTTGATTTTCCAAACCTCTCTGAAATTGGCACAGCTTGACAGACCTATTTCTCCAGGAAGTGTGTGGGAAGCGGAGGGGGAAAGCACGGAATAAAGCCCTGATCCAAAGCCCTTTGAAACTAACTCATTGACCTTTTGGATCAGGCCCTAAATGCGTGACACTGCAGGCTTCTGGATGGGTCCTGCAAGATGCTGCCTGCTTTCACGGGCGGCAGTGGGGGCTGGGGGTGTTAACACTTTGCAGGATTGCACCCCATATCTAGGGAACTGGGTTATTTTGAACTGGAAATAAGAGGGGCTATAATAGCGGTCTATAAAATCATGAATTATGTGGACAAAGTGAACAGAGAAGTGTTATTTACCCTTTCCCACACTACAAAAACCAGGGGTCACCTGATGAAATTAATAGGCAGCAGGTTTATTACAAACAAGAGGAAGTATTTCAGCACACAAAACACAGTTAACCTGTGGAACTCATTGCTATGGGATGTTGTGATGACCAAACGTATAACTGGGTTCCAAAAAGAACTGGATAAATTCCAGGAGGATAGGTCCATCAATGGCTATTAGCCAAGAGATGGTCAGGGATATAACCTCATGCTCAGGGTGACTCTAAATGTCTGACTGCCAGAAGCCAGGAGGGGAAGACAGGGTAGATCTCCCCAAATTACTCTGTTTTGTACACTCCCCCTGACGCTCTGGTACTGGCCTATGTCAGAGACAGGATAGTGGGCTAGATGGATTGTTGCTCTGACCTACTATGGCATTCTTATGAAATGGATAATAAGAAACATTTGCATCTGGAGCTGTCTCAGGCATCTGGAGCGCCACATAATTCCAATTCCTGTCCCTGGTGTCGTTCCATTAGAGCCAGTGTCACAACGTGGATCATTAACTTTAATTAGCAAATGACTGCACAGCGCTTTGAAACGTAAACTCCCCTATAGCCGCTAAATATGATCACAAGTGAGTCACATTCACCCCTGGGGTAAAAGCAGCGATTTGAATTAGCCCAGAGATGATTTTTGGTCCACAGTAGGTGAGGAAGAGAGAGTCAGTTGAATGCTGGAAAGAAAGGGAAATTGTAAGGCGAGAATAAAGTCAGCCTTTTCCAAAGTGCCTAGTGGTTCTGGGTCCCTCAGTTTTGGGGGAACTCAGCCAGACCCCAACAGCCTAATGTTCAGAGGCGCTGAGCACCTGCAGTTCCACCGCAGAGGGCTATGGGGTTATGATTGACTGGTTTGGGGAGGTATTAGAGCCGGAAGCAGGATTGTACTGGATAGTTTAGGGGTGATTTGCTGGGTGCGGGTAGGAGCATCCCCCTCTGGTACACTCATTGGCCTTTGCTTTCTTTATGATTTCGCGTTAGTTTCACTTGGAGGAGGTGCCACCAAAAGTCATTTAAAAGATTATGATTTGTATCGCAGTAGCCTTCAAACCCAGCTCAGACACCTACTGTGCTTGGAAGTGTACAGCCCCAGAGTGAGGAACCCGAAGTGCCTGCAGATTAATTGACAAGACAAATAAAGGTTAGGAGGGGAAACTGAGGCACAGAGAGTCAAAGTGATTCGCCCAACGTCATCCAACAGGCCAATGGCAGGGCCGAAAATAGAATCCGGCTCTCCTGATTCTCAACCCAGCGCCCTACCCACTTGACCACACCACCTAATTAGTGATTATTGTTCACATGAGGATGCCAGAGATATGAAACAACGTATCACAAGCACATAGACCAGAAGGACAAGAAGATCTATTGCCTCATGATTGCTCCCAACTCTACTCTGGCTAGAGGCCAGCTCGCCATATTTTTTAAATTTACATCAGCCACAAATTCAAACATCCCCGGAGTTCGGCTCCAGGGTTTTGATTAATTCCATTGTAGAGATGACAAGAGCTAACTGAAAAACCTGGATTTGGATTTTGCTCCAGATCCCAACTTCCTCAAAGTTCTGCAGTGATTCAGACCTTGGGGTTGGGTTTGGTTCCAGCTAGAAAACAGATACCAGGAAGGTCGGTGATGGCTTGAAGGAAAGATCTGAGAGGAGATTTTCACAGTTTCCTTGGGCAGTTGGCTGTCCAATTCCCATTCAAACTAACCAGAATTGGGTCTCCAAATCTCAGTCTGGGATTTACATCCAGTGTTACCCCTTTTAACGAGAGTCAGAATTCATGATCTTTCAAGTTGTTTCCATTAGGAGGAAAAAATGGCGATGGAGTCGGGTATTTCTCTGATGCAACCCTGTTAATTTACAAAGAATGTACATAAAGCCCTGTTTCCCTGAACACAGCAGGAATCAAAGAGCAGGAGACAGTTTCCTTGCTCACAGTTCCAAGCCTCTTTTCAGCCAGCACTCTCCCCACAAGCTCTTCCTTTAAGCTTTTTCTC